GCAGCACTAGAGCAAAAAGATGGAGGAGACGTAGAATCAATATTAAACAATAAGATGTAGGATGAGACAGCAGAGGAAAGTAGAGAGGCGGAGAGAGAGAGAGAAACGAGAGGAGAGAGACAGAGAGAGAGAACACTTGAATATGAGAGATTCAATAGAACTAAAAGAAGATAGTTAACACGAGAAGAGTGAAAGAGTACAAGAGAGATGCAGCTATGAAGAGGACAAGAGAGAAGACAGAGGAGAAGATCAGCTGAGAGAGTATCGCTTGGTGATGTGATGAGAGGATGGTAGATGTAGTGCAAAACCGAAGATGACGTTGGACGATAGAAGCAGAAGGATAGAAAGAGAGAGGGGATGTGAACAAAGAGAGAGAGGGGCGAGACGATATGGAGCCTCAAAAGAGGACAGATGAGAGTGTAGAAGAGAATGTGATGAGACATAAGTAGATCGAGTGAGGTATTCATAAAAGGGAGAGAGTAGAGCCATCAAGAGAAAGACGTAAGCGAGAAGAAGAGAAGGTTTGAGAGAGGGTGAGGAAGGTAGTGTAGGGATAGATGCAGACAGAAGTGTGATAGAGAAATATGGTAATATGTGGTCGTGGAGGAGAGGGAGGCAGAAAAGAAGAATTGGAGTACAAGGGAAGGAGAATTGGAAGGTGACGGGCTCAGATAGGCGTGCGATAAGCTGTTAGTTTTCGTTTTCTCGGTACAAGTAAGACGGGGTGAGGAGAGAGAGGGAGACGGAGCAGGGAGAGAGTGGGATTACCGTAGACAGAGAGAGAGACAAGAGAATCTCGAGGGATAGAGAGACCGTGAGAGGCGGACGGGAGAGAGGGGAGCAGAGAAGAAGTCAAGAGGGCGAGAGAGATTTTGTCGTGTGAGAGCGCGAAGAGATGTTAGGTTGATAGGTTGATTGATATATGTGGTGGAGAGAGTGAGAGGCAGTGTGTGAGAGCTTGGATGAGACAAAGAGAAGAGGGGAGGAGAAAGATAGTCTGTAGAGCCAGGAGAGGAGAGATTAGACCGCACGAGCCGAGAGGGGAGAGAGAGGTGGGAAGGGAGGGAGAGAGGGAGGGAGAGAGGGAGGCCGAGAGAGCGCGATAGGAGTGAATAGGGATGGGTACCGAGACTGAGACTGTGTCGGGACCGCAGAAGAGAGAGAGAGAGAGACGAGAAGAAGAACGATCGTGAATGTGATGTAGTGTAGACCGTAGAGAGTACCGTTAGTAGAGCGCTGTACGTGGGCGGTGGCGCGGGCGCAGGCATCGCCGAGGCGCCCGCGCCGACGTGCGCCAAAGCCTTGTTTCCGCGCTGTTTCCGCTACGCTGGGCCGCACTCTATAGCATCTCTCTCTCTCTGTCTCTGTCTCTCTCTCTCTCTCTCTCTCTCTCTCTTTCGTGTTGTTTGGACCTAGCACCAGCTAGAAACTCGTACTGTGGTCACTTTTTCAACTAATTTCGACGAACACAATTCAAGACCTAAATCAACAAATACTGCATTATTACTCGTACAAGTATGTATCGTTAGATACATCTTGTGTACTACTCTCTACTTCAAAATTAATCAGTTGGCTTTATGTACTCTCTGGCCTGTAGTTGCAATTTGTTATTTTTTAAATTAAATATTTATACTACTACTATTAATAATAATACACAATATTGGTAGTTTTTGTTAGTATAATTAGACTATAATTATTGTATAAGTAGTTTTGTAGTGGCTTTGATTTTTGATTGTAGGTCAGCTGACTTTATTACGAATTGTATAAAGCTGCCTGAACATTGATTTTTGAGAAAACAACAAGAACCTAATTATTTGGGATGGAGTATATAATTAGTCTAAAATTATGAGTTAGTTGTTTATTTTGTGTTCTTCTATAGAGTGTCAGCCAGCTTCATGGACATGACTCCCGGGGTGTAACGGCTAGCGTCTTGGCCTATTATACTCAGTTTCGCGTATTCAAAGCCGTGGATTTTTTAAAGATGAAAAAAAATTTCGGTTAAAGCAACGATATTATTTTTTCTTTGGCCTGCCTTCGGAGGGGAAGTAAAGCCGTATGCATCATGTCGTAGGTTCACAGAATGAAAAAGATGTAAAAGATGAAGCCTAAAAAAGCCTTCGAGCTAAAATGAAATTGCCTTAAGCCGCCCTAATCATATGTGTATTCACGGATCGGTAAATTTGTGTGGACAATTGTGTTAAGGAAAGAAGAAAGAAAAAAGTCTATTGCACAAAGAATAGCAAAATGATAGAAGCCAAATTTAAGTGGCTAGGTGGGCGTGCAGGCCGCATAGTCTGAGCAAGGCCATGCAAAAATACGTCTTAATAGTTAACGTTATGAATATTAACAATAAGTCAACAAATAAATATACATTTTATATTTTGCAGATATAAAAAAAATCTTTATAAGAAAACATCAACTTGGGTAGTCACTACGGAGAGAAAGACCCTCGCCAGAAAAGTCGTGGGTGTGCTTCTGACCTCTGACGCACCAGGGCACCAGGGGCTGGTGAGAGAGCTAGCAAGAGAAATTATGTTGATAGCGCGATCTGCAGCTAGCGTGAAATGAAAACGTTAATTGGGTACTCATCACAATCATAATAGTTCACACGGTAGTGTAGTCTCATTTACGAGTTTTTCCCGGGATCTGACTGCAACGAAGATAAATGCGATTTTTAATAAGAATCTCTAATTCGGCTCGGTGCGGAGAGACTTCCCTGGCTCACGCTAGTATTGTACTCTCCATTCTACTCTCCATTCAGCCATCACAGTAAAACCTTAAACGATAGCGTATATCTCTTAATGTTGGCTGGAGATAGTTCCATTAGTCCATCTCAAATCAACGCATGTAATATAATTTGTTGTTTGTTTCATTGAAAAAAGTTTGTGCAATAGACGTCTTTCTCTTTTGTCTTTTAAGAATGTCCGAGCTATCAAGAGCTACAATAGCATACTTTTTGGTGTTGTTGGAAAATATTACATCCTGGGAAGAGGAATGCAAAGGGGAAATAATGGAAACTGAGAGGGAGAGAGAGGGAAGTTTTTAAGTATTGAGGAAATGCGGCTATGAAAGTAGAAAGAAGAAGGGAAAAACGTTATGGAGTTTACAGGTACTGAAAAACGATAAGAAATTGTTATAATATGAAATGGAATGATAATGGAAAATATTACATTTTATGCTTAACGAAGTTTATAAGAGTATCGTACTTTGAGGCATCACAAGGGGTCTACAGAATAAAATGGGTTGTAAAAAAGATTAATTGCTAGATTGAGGTTGGGAAACGTGTTTGAAGAGAATAGGTATTAGACGAAAATGGAATAAATATTATGTAGAATGTATGGGAATGAAAAAGGAGATTGATCCCATGAAATGTGGTAACCCTAACGTAATATAATTAACCTGTACCTTTTGACCAATAACACTTCAGCCATCAATTGAAAAAAGGCAAATTATATATTTACACGATAACTACTGCTATTTTGAAATAGCTGTACCCAAAATGATGAATATATTGTACTGAGAAAGAAATGTGTAGCTTCAATTTTGAACTTATACAACAGGTACGAAAAAGTTAAGGTAAGCAATTTCAGAGGATTTTTCAAAAATGCAGTCTTGCTTCATTCTATACTCGTATTTTTTGCTCTCTTACAGCAAAAATGCAATTAAATAAATAAATTGGAGGCTCTTTGGTGAAAATTTCGAAAATGTCTGAGGAGCAAGATATGAATACCACTAAAAATTAAAAGATTCACCTTCTCGCTTCATGTACATGTGTCTCACAATAAAGTTTATTTTTTAAGATGAAGTGGGAGCGAGAAAGATCACGTTTTGCCACTGAACAAAAGGTGGGGAGTATTCTGTAATTGAGTGTGATATTTGTGATATTTGCTCTATCTGCCTATTGCCGATATATATGATATTTGACTCTACAAGTAATGCATCCTATTGAGCACAGACGTAGGACATTAAACTTGAATGCATCGAGAAAACGAGACCTGCAGAGCTCCTGGTGCATGAAGTTTCCTCACATTCAGGAGCCAAGGTCAACTACAAATTTCCCACTACATGTTGATTGGCTTTTTACAATAATCAATTACACAACTATCCCAATACAATCTAGTCAAAGCATCCGTAAACGCCACCAGAGTAAAAACTATTTTCCCAGACAAGTTTCTCACATAGAATTTGCAAATTTGGATGATTCTTTGTGAGGCGCTCAGTGAGTTTCCTCTTCCTAAGAAATAATTGTGAGGAAGTAAGTTTAGTTTTTTTTTAAATAGATTGTAATCATCAAAACATGTGAAAAAGTGTGTACTGTTAAACTGAACCATATATCACATTCAAAATAGTAATATTAAAAAATAACATGTTGATTGGCAAAAAGTGATCATTCATTTTCTACCCCTTAACATGCTCTAGAACTTTGTCGAATTTATTCTGAAACACACGTGTATAAAGTGAAAAGATGGGTGAGTTTGATTGATTAATTAGTGATTCCGGGCGCGTCCACTTCTGAAGTCATTAATCCCGTAAAGGCAGTGAATGTTTCCGTAGCTGGAGGTGGCGGAAATCTTGAACCGCTGGCTGGCGAAGACAGGGTACCGGCCTACGTCAGCTTGCGGGGATTTTCCTCAACCAGGTATCTCCCACCAGCAGGGCACTGCCCCAGTCGGGAAAGCTCTAAGCTCCCGACAGGTTTCTCGGCTTGTGTGGTAGTGTAGTGCGTGTAAGCTTAAGGGTGTGTAAGTAAGCGGTGAGGAGTGCACGGAAGAGGAAGGAAGGTTCGTGGCACGTTCGTAGGGTACTGCTGCGGCATTTGCGTGGTTTTGGTGGGAGAAACCATCGAGCAGCGCAGCCGGCCGCTGGAATGGTCGTGGCTGCGTAGCTAGAGCCTAAACCGCTGACTGGGACTCGTGGCGTGCCTGGATGTCGTGCTCCAGGTCGAGCAGCGCCTCCCGCATGGGCTCGGGGTCCTCGGCGTGGGCCAGGCGCTGCGCCAGCAGTTCCGCGAACTCCTCCAAGATGGACTCGGCGGCCGTCGTGGGCGGGATCTGCGCACAACCACGAGCGCATCCGCTCCTCTCGTTGCTCTTCCACCGGGCCCTGTTACTCACGCGCGTGCGAGAGGCTCACTAGAGAACTTTTTGACGAGCTACTGCTCTCAGGGTTACCAGATGCTTCGTACACACATCCGCCGTTAGATAGATGTACATCAGCCCAATTCTGTCTATCCAGAAAAATCCAACCTTCCAAGCGGCAATTTGAATTTGCATTAAAACAACTATTACAAGGCTTTTTGAGATGTGACCCAAATAAGTGCTTGATTTTCTTGTTTGTGAACCATGTAATTAATACTAATATTAATGTAAAATGTTCTACATTTCGTTATATCTTAATATTTTAAAATTAGTGATTATTACTCTTACGATTACAGCAGACGAGAGGAATACTTTAAGGTATAAAATAAATTCCCCCATTTACCCATTTCTCTCTCCTGTTCCTCTTAAACAAAAATCCGCGCTTAAAAATATTAGCACAGAAATTCTAACTTATGCATGCTTATTCCCTATGGCTTAACGGAAAATGCTGGCAGTTAAACTATTCTTCCAAAAGATGATCAATTTTAAATGACGTGTTCTACAATTAACCCCAAGTACTACCACGTGATACTACTATGATATACTCACGTTGTGCACGACACAGACGCTTTGACTTTTAAAACACACTCTATACTAGAGGTCTAAAAACAAACATTAATCACTTCTCAGGACTCGAACCCGCAGCCTCCTCGGTGCAGAGGAACCGCAACTGCGTACACCACGGGGCTGGCTTATTATTGTTATTATTATTACTATTATTATTAATATTACTGTTATTATTATTATAATAACAAAAACAAATAATGAAAAGCTTAGATTGTTTCACGAGATATCTTTCTGATTTTTTAGGGCCGGATTTTATTAAGTAATGCTTTTACGTGGCAATTAACAAACTATTATCAGACGTAACTTCCCTCCATATCTTCAATACAACAGTTTGTTTGCAGAGCATACTGAACTGAAATGCATAAACAGATGTTTTCGTTTTTTCGCTCATGTCCCAGTTCATCTCTACCCTGATCTGCCTCGTCCGCTATGAGTTTTGAATGGAAAGAAAGGTTGCTGTAGGTTATCGGCCGGAGCTCGCCTCCCAGAGATGGTACGATAGCGGGTTACCTTGTTGATGAGCTTCTCGAGCTCCTCGTCCAGCACGCGCTCCAGGGGCACGTCCTCCTGCGAGGCGATGGGCACGCGGCGCAGCAGGTCCTGCAGCACCTGCTCCACCGAGGGCCAGCGCGCCGCCTCGGCCAGCGACGCCCGCTCGCCCACGAGCTGCTCGGCGTCGCGGGGCTCCATGTACAGGAACATGGCCTCCTCGTCCTCCTCCTCCTCGTCGCTCGACACCTCGGGCAGCTTCTCCTTGTCGGCGGCCAGCTGGCGCAGGCGGCGCAGCTCGGCCTCCAGGCGGCTGGGAGAGCACACCGGCGGCGGCGGCTTGCCCTGCGCGCAGCGCCGGCGCGTCGCGTGTGGGGCACGGTTTATTGCGGAAGGTGGCGGGATTGTCCCCTGCTGGGTGCCTAGATACGACCATCTCTCCCACCAGTCGGGTACTGCCCCAGCCCGGCCAAGCTCTCTTCCCGGCATATGAGGCAGTCAAGTGCATGTTACTGTAAATGTGTGCACGTAAGGGGTGAGAATACGACAAGGAAGAAGATGTTAAAGATCGCACGCGGTCCGTAGCCAGTTCGTTAGGATACTGCCCCGGCATTCGCCTGGTGTTGATAGGAGAAACCACGGGAAACTACCCATCAGAGCAGCCGGCCGCTAGAATTCTACGCCAGACAGCGACTAAACTTGACTTAGCTACCTAGCTTGATTCGAAAATTATCAAGCGGCGGTGGTGGCATAATTTTGGAACTCGTTATATTATTATTATTATTATTATTATTATTATTATTATTATAGCAAACTAAGATCCCATTAAGGACAAGGGCTTTCTGCCGCTTTTCAGGGAATACTGAATGAAGTGATAGGGTAATAATAAGGGGTGAAAGGACTATAATGATGGTGGGAAGTGAAAAGTGGAGTGGTGAAAAGGAGATCCCAGCGTTCGCCCGATTGACCGAGGGAAACCACGAAAACCCCGGTCAGGACAGCCGGCCCAGGGATCGAACCCGGACCTTCCGATTATGAAGTCAGCGCGCTACTTCACTCGGAGCTCGTTACATAGGAAAGTCAAATTCTGTGTTCTTCTACTGGACGACTGCTCTGACCAGTAGTTTTCCGTGGTTTCACCGATCGACACCAGGCAAATGCCGGAGTAATACCCTGCCAAATGGGCCTTTCCTCACATTTACTCTTTCGTGGGCTGCTCACGTGCCGGAAGACCAGTCGGGAACTTAGAGGTCGGAAGGAAGTCCACCCTCTACTCGGTTGCGCCAAAGCAATTGCCCTCGCCTTTGAAAGAAAGACCGCAGTACCTTGTAGCTGAGAGCCCTGATCTCCCCGCGCAGCACTTCCATCTGGCTCGCTTGGTTCTTCACCACCCGCCTCAGGCGCCGCAGCTCCTCCGAGTACGCCAGCAGGTCCTTGAAGGTGAACGTCTGCAACGGCGACAACGTTTTCTTTCCCACCGTCCTATAAAAACGACTCTAAGCATCGTTTAGCGTACATGATGTTCATTTATTAACAATATGTAATTAAAACGAAATCCGACATGCATTGGCCAATGTATTACAGTAAGTTTTTGAAGGTTTTTATTAAAATATTATCAGCTTTTTGAAATATGACAAAGACAGTTATGCACTATGGACATTTTTGTAGGCGGATGGTCTTGGCTGTCCGGGTGACGCTATGTCTCAGGATATTATGCTGACGTTTTAACCATCTTGTCGTGATCTTCGTAAGGTCTTGAAGACAGCGACAAGAGGACGAAACGTTGACAGCCCATGACGCGGCGTCACCGGGACAGCCTAGAGCACTCACAAGACTCCGGCCGCAGAAGCCTAAGATTCAATTTCTGAAGGTGCGTCCTGCCAGGACATACTAATAGCAATGTCTTTTTTCTCATTCTAATTCGATTATCACTGCGTTCCTCCTAATGCAGCACTGTTCTCCACTTTCACATATGCTAAAGTAAGGTTCCACGTGTATATGGGCAAACCTCGCTGTAAGAGAGTGTCGAAGTTCATATGGAACGATTATGCATGGCGCCGGTTTTGAACTGTTTTGTAAACATCCAATAAGCGTTGAATGCGATAGTATCACTTAGGACTAAGAAGAGCAGAAAAGGCGCTGGGGTCCGGCGTTGCGCCCTCAATAATACGCGTCTGTTAAACGACTTCCTCTTCTAAAGATCAATATTCCGGAATCATCATTGATCGCATTTAATGTGGTACGTACCTTCGTCTTGTCTTCAAGTGGCATAAGTCTGCTCAGATTCGACTTTTCCTGAGTAAGAATAGTGAGTATATTCATCTTCTCAGAGTTGTTTCTACACAAATCTGTCAATACAGATTCTTGTTTTCTTCTTTCTGCCTGAAAACAGTGAAATACTTCGTTAACAGATATAGTACACGTACGTTTCTCGGAGTATATCCTGCAAAGTGGTCAGTTAGGGCAATTGTATCGTGGGGAGGCAATATTAACAATTGGAATACCGTCTCCATGCGGCACATTTCATTTATTTTCATTCGCTGTAGCCCATACCCAGGGGCCTAGTTCCCTTCACCCGCGATGTCCCACACATCCCCTTTCTCTTCAGCCCCGTTGGAATGCAAGCCCGCGAAGCACAAGTGAACATTGAGCATTTAGTGTCAAGGGATGCCTCTCTGTGGGGAATGCTGTGTGAATGCCGAGGTACATGAGCCACATGAGCGCCCTGGCTGGCTACTTGTTCTCGCAACAAAGTTCTCGCCACACCCTTTTCCCTTTACCCACTTTCCTTTCCCTGCCCTGCTCCTAACATGTCTTTATGCAAAAAAACTAGTTACACAATGTACTATTATTTATAAGGGAAAGAGAGTAACGTTCTTGTTGTCAGGAACAACTAAATAAATGATGATATTCAAAGTTATAATAAATAAAAGTTTAAATTACCTTCAACATGGATACAAGTCGGTGAAATTCCTCTTTAATGTCATGTAGTGTGGTTCTCAACTGCACTATGAGCCTCTGCAAGACTACATCTTCCAAGTCTTCTACGTTCACCACACTTCCAAATTTCTTTATTAATGTCAGGTCGATAATCTTTTTCAGCTCTTTTATCTCCTTTCTCATATGTTTACAATCGATGTGCATCCTCAAGTGATGTTGTTTGTAACGCCTATTACAAAATACAAAACTTGAATAATTAAAAACTATATAAACATAAATCAAATTGCGAAATCATGAAACCTGTGACGTGTAATCCATATATCGTTTAATAATAATTAAAATTACAATTTAGGTGCTATCATTAGATTATTCCTAATTTTTCTTTAGATTATGTGTATGTGATGGGTAATATGCTTTAAGTACAAACTTAAAAAAACTGCTTATTCATTATTTATTGCATGCATAACGTGTGTCACTGCAACAATACTTCGATTTCTTTCAGTGGCCTATGGCATTAGACCTATGGCATTAGGTCCCGCCTTATAAAATGAAGCTTTTGTGTTAACTCACGAACGTCCTTCTCAATGACTGTCGTGGCCTCAGAATTTTGCTTACCGGTGTTATAAAGATATAGATGCACTAGGAGCATGCATCTTAAATCCATTACAACAATATTCTTGTATGAGTACAATACTACGTAGGTAGGAGCAGAAGATGGTAACTACACCAAATCGCACAATTTAATATGTAGCGTGAAAGAAATGCTTTTCTAATGTGCAGTCGGTGCCTCCAATGTGTGTGTGTTGATTAGCACAGAAATCAGTTGTCCAACTAGCGCCGTGCGAGATGAATGTAACGTGATGAGAGCAACGCTCTTACATCAAGACAGCGCGCTCCATGGGCGAAATGCCCGAGAATATTGCAGATAATTGGTGGAAGCTGTTGCGAGTAATGCCTTTCCATACCAAAGTCGCGAGATGGGTAGGACAGTTTCTTTGAGGAAGCGACCAGCAACGCACGTGACGACCTCGGTAAATTTCCGTGCACATAGGTCCTTGTCCTTTCACGTGTATACTTCACATTTTGAAACCCGTGCTCGAATTCAAAAAATAAAGCAAACACAGTTTCCATGACTTATACTCCAACCATCATGTTTCAATTCAATTAGTTAATTGTGAATTGAATGGAGATTCTTCTGATTTGTAATGTATTCTTCTGGATTGTAATTGCTATTTTTCTGTACACAACGACACTACCTTAAGATCACGGGAGAAAAGTATCTACAAGTTACTAGTCGTAATAATATATTGTTCATAGAGAAAATGAAATACTTTAATTTTATTATGGAACATTATTTCGGTCTCCAGTTCAATTTAATTTTTTTAGTTAGATTTCGAGTGAATACTCCTTTATCACCATCCATAAATATCCATACAATAGAAGGTTCAAAAAGTTCTCATTTTGCCCTCTAGGTAAAACGTTTTCTACTGGTGTTAGGCAGGAACAAGACTGTTTTGAGTGAGCCAAAATTTGTACCTGTGAAACACCAGTGGATAATGAGATGCCTACCAGAGGCAATCACATGTTTATCTTCGTTATACGAGATATGCCATCGATGCTTCCTACATTACCCCAGAAGATTGTAACATTTATCCCGAGACACAATGCAAGTGAAGCGGCCCTGCAAATTCTAATTCATTCTTTATTAGGTGGCTCACGGCCACAGAAGGTCCTCTGATCGGGAAGTCGAAGGGTTCGAGTCCCAACGGTTACAGAAGTTTCAACACGAGCTAGATACTCGTAGCTAGGTCAAATTCAGGCACTGCCCGAAGGAGAATTCCAGAGGCCGGCTGCTCTGATGAGTAGTTTCCCGTGGTTTCTTTGATCAACACCAGGCGAATGCCGGGGTAGTTTTCAGTGGTTTCTGCGATCTATACCTGTCGAATGTCGGAGCAGTACTCTAATGAAATGGGCCATGGACGGCACGCTATCTTTCCTTCCTCTTTCTTATCTTATCTTCACTTCTTACATACACACACTTGCGTGCACTTAACTACCACACATGCCTGGAGACGAGTCGTGAGCTTGTCCCGCCTGAGGCGGTTTCCGGCTGGTGGGAGATACATCGGAAGTCGAGAGGTAGGGTGGCGGCGGATCGCGCCATCTAGCGGGGAAGTTCACTCCCGCAAGACAAAATGCACTACCCTGAGGGAAGGCATGAACTTATCATGAGTTGGTTGACCTGAACTTGTTCTCCTGCATGAGCGTCTCCTTGTGCAGCTCGCCCACGCGCGCCTGCAGGCGGCCCAGCATGGCCCTGGAGAAGACGAGCTTGTCGCCCATGTGCTCCAGGTCGGCGCTGGAGTCCTCGAAGTAGCGCAGCTGGCTGGCCTTGAGCGCCACCACGCACATCACCTCGTTCAGCCGGTGCTGCTTCTCGCGCTGCAGTCAAACGAAAGGTACGTTGATAGGAACTAACAAAATTAGCGCCGTTGCCCGGACTCTCTTCAAACACAATCCTTGTGAAAGAGCAAAAGATCTATTTTATATAAACCATGGTGATTAACATTATTTTTAATGTGATTACTTCACATTTTAATATAATACTATTATTTTCCTTCATGATAATTTACAGTACTGTGCTATTAGATTTTTTCTTTCGTGCCGTTACTAACCTCTGGCGAAATATATTGGGAACCACGTGTTCTTAGGGTTAAGTAAAAAATAAGAATCGTGGTGCATCAACTAACATATTATTTAAATTATTAATTTTCCGCATTTATATTATATTAATCTTTACCGAACTTTGCAAGGACACTGCGACAAGCCTGAAGAAGAGCATGTAAAAATGCATATCTATTCACACTGCACTTTTTGTGGTATTGATATCGGTTACATGTCGTTCAATTCACTTTTATTGGTTTAAAATAGAACACTTGTCACAGAACTGAATTGGGGTATACACTTTACATGAAGCATTTACATAAAGAACGTATTCATCGCTTTTAATTAAATTTTGTTGTTGGAAAGTGTAATAGACGTTGAAGGTAATGGTGCAGGTTTAATTGTGGAAAACTCTTTCATTAAGGGCGAGAAAGTAGGTGTTATTTTATTCCCTGGCTCCTGATACCGAAAAAGTGTTGCCTTTTTTTTAAAAAAAAAACGTCCGTCTGTCCGGTGACCGTCTGTCCGTCTGTCCATCCATCTGGTGTCTGTGAACACTACTAGCGCCAAACCCATGCGTAGGATTTTTTTCAATTTGAAGAAACCCCTGTCCATCTGACTTCAGTCGAATATTTGAGATTAAAAAATTGAGTGTACTCTACATGAAGCCCCTGGAACAAGTTCAACATTTTCTCAAAAATGGCTCCAATTTTTTTCTTTAAATTTCTTGTAAGAATAGAGTAAAATACGCCTATAAAGATGGCATAAATCCGATTTTCACGGGTAACTCTAAATGTTTGAAAATTACAATATTATTCGCGCATCTTCCTTCAACTATAAAATTGAATATTGAGATGTTTTCTTCTATTACAATTAGTAAATAGTACATATAACTTCATAGTGAATTCTTTTATTAAGGTCATAAACATTATTTTGAAAATTTTAGTAGTTTTCGCGCAATATTACGTGTGCAGATTTAAAAAATTACCAAAACAAGATTTTTGCAAAGCCGTTTCTAATATTTTCTTTAAACTTTAGGTAGGGATAGTGCTAAATGTATTCCAGAAGATGACATAAACACCATATTGCTCTATTCTGTTGTTTTTTCAAAAATGTCAAATATATATTTTTTTGTCTTGCCTGTCATATCGTTAATATTTATATTAGCGGCAATATTGTTCTCATTATTGCATTTATGTGTACACGTGCTGGAAATAATGTCATATTAAGTTTCTCGACGTATTAAAAGTGATAGAGACTTTAGTAATGGAAGCAATTGGTACTTTTACTCAAAGAATGAAATATAAAAGCCTACGAATATGCAATAAGAAGATACAGGAGGCTGTGAATACAAATAGAAAGGCATTTGAAATATGTAAGTGATAGAGACCTCGTGTCAAAAGATGAGTATTCTACTGTATCATATTACGTAAGAAGTCTTACAAAGAAGGCACAACAAGAGAGCTGGGACAGATACATAGCTGAGCATGATATGCACGTGCGCTATACAATGAGCAATAATGTAATTCAACATCTAATTAGAGAGGTGAAAAATGTAGCAAATATTGAGATTGTGAAATCTGACCAACTCCTCTCTTATTATAATCGATTGTGGACAGAACCTGGTCATGAAAACAAAGAAGAACCCTTAGAAACAGAAAGGGAAATTGATGAAATGAAATATGAGGGACTGGAAGATGCCTTAAAGAAAAACAAAAAAATAAGAAAGCGAGTGGAGGCGATTGCAGTAAGGTGAAATGATCAAATATGCCTCAGAAAATTTAAAGAAACGGCTCTTACACTTTCTCAATCTATGTTGGAAAAAAGTGATCATACCGCAAGAGTAGAAAATTGCAGTATAAGCCCTATCTTTAAGAAAGGAGACCGGTCGTCTTGTGAAAAGTATCTAGGAATAAGCCTTTTAAATGTTACTTAAAATGTCTATTCTAGAATAATCGCATCCAGAGTACGTAAAATTGCAGAGAAACTTAATTCAGTAACGGAAGGTCATGCTCCAATAATATCTTCATCTAGCTGATCATTGAGAAACACAGAGGACTTAATAAAAGAACACACATGCTCTTCATAGTTTGCTCTAAAGCGTTTGACACAGTAAAAAGAAATACACTATTTAATGTATTGCATCGTAAAGGTCTCCCACCACAGCTAATTTCGGAAATTACGGACATCTATACTAACTCAGAAATGATGAATATATCCTTCAAAATGTTTGAATTACAAAAGGTAACTGAAATGTACTATCTCTACATATTCTCTACAGAAACAAGAGTCATGGCCTTTGAAGGGATGGAACCGATTAGATCTAAATTAGTTGTATATAATTAACCTAAATAGCAAGATTGAAGTTGTAGTTTCTTGGGATAAAAAAGTCATAAAGAGGGGAAATAAATATACAGGGGAATGATTACAAACTAAATCGTATGAACGGAACAATACTGAGAACTTTGAAAAAGAAAGTCAGAAAGAACACTATGATTAAATTCTATATGGTATTAAGTGTCCCAACATGATTACATGGAGGTGAAATTTGGACAATGACCAAAATAGAGAGTAGCCAAAATCAGTATCTCATTTACCGATGCACATGTCTCTATATACAATATTCGTTGGAACATTTACATATAATTCAACAATGTGTAGTTAAAAATATATGGTATAGAATCCAGAACCTAAGTAAACTTATGCAAGTTTTCCTTCTCATTCCTGCACATTACATACAGTTGTGTTTTTCCTGCAGCACTGCGTTTTCGGCGATTAATGAAATAAAATATAAAATAAAACGAAGTTCGAGTGCAAAAAGGAAACATGTGACTCTTCGACTATCGATTTCCCCTTCCTCTTGGAATTCGATTTATTTTTCGAAACAATGCTCTTATAGACTACACTAAACACAATATAGTGCCATCAAAGGAGTTCTTCAACCAACCTGAAATGCTAGTAGTTCGCTCTTCTGCGTGCCCAACGTTTTTTCCAGAATCTTTATGGACTTCCCCTTGAGCTCGATCTCCTTCTTCAAGTTGTCGATTGATTTCTTCTCTTCGATTTCCTTTATTTCAAGTTGGTGCCTGAAAGTGAATAATGCCTCATTTAACACGTGTTGTATAATCATTTTGTTAAGTAACATGCTCATCCTAATAATAGTATTTGAAGTCACGTTAAAATAATATTGACAATGTATAAACAATATTATAGTATTGACGGAACAAAAATTAATAAAATGTGAAAAAATGTAGATATTTTTGGATAAAACAATTTTCTCAATATAAATATCACATAAACGCAAATTAAAACATTGTGTTAATAGATACGTACTTATAATACGTGATATGTTGTACATTTTCTCTAAACAGACATTTTTTGATTCAGATGTTAAATTAACATTTTTTCTATAGGAACAGAAGTAGTTTATGTCATTGAGATAGATATGTTCAATGTTTGAAAGTACATAATCGACCGTATACATAAAAAGGTAAATTTTAGTTATAAAATTAGTTTCATCGAATTATTGTTATATAACTAAAAATACTATATTATAGATAGTGTAGTGAACTAGGGAATTTGGGAAGGTGATTCCTAGTACTATGTGAATTTTAAGGCAGTAGGTTAAGGCAATCTGTCAAAAGCGTGAATGTTTTAAATAGTTCGTAGTGTGGGATGCATTCCGAATCCCTCGCTTGTTACATATACATCCCAACCCTTCCATAATGCATTGGCCTCTCTGGTACGTGTGCGCGAGATTAGTGTAATATCTGTACGTGTAATTGAGGGACACACTCCTTACACCCGTGACAATGGTACAAGCACAATGGCAAATTTAGAGGACAGAAATGGTACAGGACAGATACGGGTTATTCGATGTTTGGTGAGTGTTCTTTACTGCAAGTGTCTCCAATGTAGGTATCAGAAGAGGCCCTGGTAGGTCTTCAAGTCCCCGTTAGATGGCAACTAGGGAGAGGGTGATGCAAAATCGCAAAGCTAACTCCGATTCAAATCACAGAACCCGAACTTATCCGAGAAAGTTGGTTCCATTTTGTAGTTTTAGATGACTAGTTTTTCCTCCATCACTGTTTAGGTACGAAGTTACTGTTTCATTGTTTAGAACTTTTATTATTAGTCTTTCTTAACTCTAAGTGATAGTTATCGGATGTTTTAAAATACTACGAAACCGTCAGCATGCGCGATCGTGCTGCTCAGAAAGACTTGGCAATTTCATTTTAATGTCCGTCGATGAAGAAAATTGCTGTGCTCTCGAAACAATGAATTGAACGTGGGAGGCAAAGGGCAGCTCCTGCGAGGTGTCACTAAATGAGGTGACATAGCGACCACGTCGAAAATCCGAATGACGGGCGGTTTCTGATAAAGCAATGACGCAATCAGAGGCAGGGAAAACGGGGGAACTCAGCAAACATCTACGGAGAACCCGCTTTCTCCACGACGAATGTCATATGTAACTCCGTTAAACGCGATTTTCCAGCACGTGCTTTGTAAAAACTAATCCTTCGTTCCTCTAAACATCCTCGAACTTACAGTAACATTAATTCTGAACCAATGAGTATATTGGAACGCGGACATCTGTTAATTATTTTGTGTTCGCGGGTGGGTCAACCGTTCTTGGCTTACGTTCCGTAAGTGCAGTGCATCATACATCTCGGAAGAAAGTGGTGTTGCCACCAGTAAAAATGTGATATCCGGCACCAACCTGCACGTCGGCTCGCGAGGATTTCCCCTTTAAAGGTATGTCCGCAGCGCCCCGCCCAGCCAGGAATAGCTCAGAGCTCCAGATTGTTCTCCCATTTGCGGTAGTATAGTGCATGTGAGTGTAAGTCGTCACGTATAGGATTAGGAAATACTTAAGCTATATTAAGTTACTTTTGATAAGGAAATGCTTACGCACTTTGCGTATTCATAAACGATTCTTAACGATTCTCGCAATATCTCGTGGGCAAGACCGTATTGGCCACTTGTTTATACCCACTTGTATCCAGCCTGACACGTTCCATCAAGCTGGCCGTGAACTAGTCATATGCTTGCGTCCGTGAGCATCCGTGGGGTAACATAACCGTCAGTTTCTTAAATGGTGGTGGTATCTTAAACAGCGGTGAAACTCAAATTTAAAGCTGGTTTAGCCACCAACGGTACCAAAACGTGTGCAACAGTCTTAGTAAAACCATATAGTTTCTTAAATTCTTGAGAGTTGCGCATTTTCAACGGGTTTTGCATGTCACGTAAATGTCGCTTATTGCTAAGCGCCACAATAAAAATCTTTGTAGTCTTCGTCCATTTCCATATCTTTCCAATTACGATTTTTTTCAACGCACCAAGAGAGAGTTCACTTATAACTATAAGGTATTCCTTGTGTGCGCGGATAATTTGCCACTATGAAGTGAAAAACGCTGTAAGAAACTCCTTAAGGTTTACCTTATTATAATCGATGACTTTGAGAGGATAGGACAAGGGAGGGGGAGACAATATTGCGCGCGGTCCGTGGTCTGTTTATTAGGGCGACATTCGCCTGATATTAATAGGACAGAAAACTACTGATTACAACTAGCAATTGGAATTGTGTTGGGTGGTACCTCTCGTTGCGCATGACGAAGGTCATGTCGTAGAGCGCCCTGTCCAGGTCGGGGGGGCAGATGCTCTCGTCCAGCTTGATGATGCCCATGTCCTGCGAGTCGATGCTGCCCTCGTCCTCCTCCTCCGACGACGACTCCGACTCCTCGCTGGAGCTGGACGACGAGCTCTCGTCTGCGCACGCCGCGCGCGGCTCTCGCCTTCAAACGCGCGCAGAGTGGAGCGGCCACGCGCCATACAAGCGTCTGCTCTCGCTCAAAGGACTGGGGAAACTCACCGAAAACGTCGTCGACACGGGGGCATTCACACAGAAGCTCACATCTACCCTAATTCCTACTTTCTCGCCTTACCAACTTCTTCGTAAGAAGAGAAAGTTATGTAATCGTGCGCCGGAAAACGGTCAATTTTTAAATAATACAATGCAAATGCATACTAATTCATTATATATCATTGTTAAAATTAATATGTTTCTTTTAATGGTCAGTTCAGACTCTACTTGACAGAAACAGTATAACACATAAACTAGACATATAGAAACAGAATTAATGGTATGCTGCAATATATCATCGGAATATAAGTCGGCAGTCGTATTTTTAAATTTGTAATTTAAAAAGGCGACTAGCAACTTATATGCTGCCGATACTGCAGCTACATTGGTTCTACAGAATAGCACAGACTGCCTCATATTAATTAGTTTTCTAATTTCTTTAGCCCAGGTTACTTGTAGTACTACTATGAGTGCCCCAGGCAGTGTCACACTTAGGCTACGTGTTCCAAACTCGCGTCCATGAAAGTTTTTGAAACGGGTCAATGATGATCAAGAATTGGGGATCTATAGCCGAATATGAACCGACAATTGATGGGTTTAATCAAGATCCCACTGCTTACAAAAATTATTAATGAATTTCATAATTATTGTTTTCTGATACACGGTAACAAAATTACAATAATAAATTACAAGTTCGTTCTTCTTCTTTCGTATCCATCGTTTATCCTTAGAATCAGAAGAGTATTTGGGCTAAGTCGGTGATTCGCACAGGTCTCCGAAAGAAGGGGTTCTTAATAAAGACCCCTTCGGGCGCAAATGAGCAAAGAATAAAACAAATCGCACTCCAGGATTATTTTCTATACTGAATCATATTATTATATCAAATAAACTTAAAACTCTTAATTTCACGGTTATTGCAAATAGGGTTCCCGTTTAGACTTTAAGAACCGGTGTATCGTAGAACGAAACTACGCATCTGCTTGGGATGGTTAGAAAAATCAACAAAATATAACTACGTAATCATAACGACATTCTACTGGAAAAAAATACTCCCACAATAGACACTGGAAAAGTTACGGCCAATTAAAACTAGTGATGCTAAAACAGCACTTTCTCACCCGTATTTTAACGCAAAATTTTACGAAAAGTACTCAAATTTTAGAAAAATTTTACATTACCTTATTTCAAAATGTATTTTTAACAGATTTCATGAAGGAAAAAATCGCTACCTTCAATATTACGTTCTCGCCCTTTAGAAGGTATTCTTAAGAAAAGAGTTCTGTAACAATGCGCGAAAAACCGGCAAATGTTTGGTGAAAACTCTATTGCCGCACGCTGGCAACGAAAATTAGGATAAATTCAATTGCTAAATTTAAATAAAAAAATTCTCTAACACATGATGTAACCTGAATTCATGTTTTGTGGGTCCTTGATACCGAAACATCGAATGACAACAAAACATCTGTCTGTCCGTTTGCCTGTGAAAGCATACCAACGATTAGATCGTGTAGTCATAAATCGGCTGAACGGTGGAACCGCTAGCGTTGTTCATAGACCGACAGACGGAGGGGCAGACATTTTGCCGTCGATCGATTTTTTGGTATCAAGGACCCACAAAACATCACGAGATTCAAGATTTTTTTTTTAATTTAGCAACTGGATTTTTCCAGTTTTTCGTTGTCAGGGCCCTGTAATAAGCGCTTTTCTGCAGAAAATTTGCCATTTGTTCCACCAGCATTTCATAGTTTTCTCTGCCTACTACGCAGCGAGAAAGTAAAACCGCTCATTATTTTGTAACCTGTGCACATAAACGAAGGTTGAGCTTCTGAGAAGCGGGTGCGCCTTACATCATTGAAATATTACCAAATACCACAATAGTGCTGTATGACTTTTTTTAATCTTTAATACATTTATATAAAATTCTGCGTATTGTAATTATGTATGAGCAAAGTCGCTCGCCTTTCACCAAGGAGGTCCGGGTTCGGTTCCCGTGCAATCTCATGTGAAATGTGTCATGACAAAACGAGTTTGCCTGCTTCACAGGGGCTAGCCCAACCCCTGGGAAGCGCCCTAAACCCTACCTCTATAGCCCCTAAGGAGCCCTCGGCACGCGTGAGAGCCCGAGTCTTCCTTTAGGCGCCGATAGTTGATGGGAAGAGGTTGGGGGAAGCCGAGAAGCCAGCCCAGATGTAGATGGGAAACATACTCGAAAAATCTGTGCCATTTTGTACCACGACTAATTTTCTATGTAATACGAAATTACCATCTCCCTTCTTTTCCTTCGGAGGCTTGTACTTCTTCTTATAAATTTTCCTCAGGAAATCAGCATAACTGTTATCTTCAATTTTTTCGTTAAAAATGGCTCCCAACTGTTTAACTTGAACATTCAAATTTTCTATTTCTTTCTTGTGCATTTCTATATCCATTTGCTTATCGATTATCTAAAACAGAAATTTGTTAAGATAATCAGTAATAAGAGAGTCAGGAATGTAGAATTGGCCTAACATCTTCAATTAATTCAGCAATATTTTAAAATGCATAGTGTATTCGGAACTGTTAAAAAACGCAATATTAACCTTTTAAATAATTATTTTCTCCTTTCTTCTGAAATATTTACTTATTATTTTAAGTGTATGCATAAGTATAAATAAGGTTGACTTTTGTGAGCGTATACATTAATACTTATACATATCATTATTAATGTTAACGGATGGGTTTGTACGTATCTCTGAATGTATCTCTTGGTTTGCACCATCGTTTGTTATTGTAGTGATAGATGTTGTAATTTCTTATATTAACATTTTTAATCGTTATTTTATTGTAAATTCGTTTACCTACGGTTACCAACTGACAATCAGTCATTTGGGGCAAAATAAATAAATATTATACGAGTATATTATATGTTCATTAAAAATTGAAATTAAATTTCACCACCATTTTCAGGTAAACGTCCATTGCCAAAACATCCACTTTCAGAAATGTCCATTATTACGAATGTCCACTTCATTATAGGTTCAATACTGTTTCGTCCAAGTTATTTATATGTCTACTGCAGAAATGTCCAGTAGATACAATGTCCACGGTAATTAACACTCATAGGATTGATACAGAAAATTAAGTTTTATTGACAAAAATCTCAGGCACCTTTATTGATATTTGAAAGAATGACATGTAAAAACTAGTAATTTACTTATACAATACTTGTTGGTATTGTAATCCTGGTATCAGCTCACTATTTCTTTAATTTGCCTTTGATTTGTGACATAATTCTTATTAAGAATAATAATATATCCGCTTTGGAGTTGTACATGGAAATGCTACCTTGGTTTTTCCGTGCAAAGTTACGAGTTGCATGGACAGTGACAGGGCAGTTAAAGTTAAAAAAGTTACATCCGTGAAAAATACTTGGTAATACATAGCGATGCTCAATACTTCTGGTGGTTGCACAAATAAATATTCTGTCATTCTTTTCTCCAGAGTCAAATAATAGAAACATTTTCATTCCGCAAAGTTAAATGATATCATAAAATATCATGGTTTACAGAACGTAGGAAATTGATCTCTCAGGCAAGTTGGCTAAACCTCTTCATTTCATGAAGACAATGCATTTAGATAGAACAGAACCTGACATTACTCATTTTGTAGACATTGTGGACTTTCTTGTGGACATTCCGTTCATGGACATTGTGGTACAGATATTTTTGCTGTTGACATTACTTTCATTGGACTCTATATAGTGGACATCAGAACCTAGTGGACAGTGGGCATTATATAGTGGGCACTTTTACTCTGGGCTTTGTGATTATTGGACATTGTCCTATAAACCGACTGACCTGACATTGTCCCACGTGTATAAATACACTTGTTCAAATTTCATAAAATAAGTGTTATCTTACATTCCATAGTGAATAAGTAATGTAACGAGTTGATCTGCGGACAGACTTATCTCCTGCTGTGGATTGGTCAAGGTTTTTCCATACCACCGTTGATCACTTAAAGAAAAATCTTTCCCTCCCGTGCCCCCCTACTTAGGAGGTTGGTAGGGTAATTTCAGCCACAGATATGCAACCCCTAGGGATCAATCGACCTCAGCAGTACGATGGAGAGGGACGCTAGTACATGCAGTCAGGGTGTCAAAATAATATTGAGGACTGTGGACATCGCTAAATTGCTAACAGAAATATACCAACGTTGAAAGACCAATTAAAATGAATTGCGGACATATATTCAATAACACGTGTTTACGCACTTACCACATTGTTGACTCCTTGCACATCCTCCTCGGTGTTGTGCACTTTGAGGGCCAGTGCATCTTCCACCGACTCGAACTCCTTGAGAATAATGAGTTCCTGGTGCAATTTGATTATATGCAGTTCTCCAAATTTTATGTCTACTGCTACCGCAAAACGGGCATCTTTTACTTCAGATATCTCCTTATCGAAAGCGGCCACTTGTTCATCCATTTCCTTTAAGATGCTTTCTTGGATGTATCGAGATCTAGAATTGAGAGTTAGACTTGTGCAATTGATTCCCTGATTATTTTGTTTTCGAGCGCGTCAACTGCATCGGTCTTTACACACGTAAGAGTAGTGCATGTTGCATTGCCAGAAGTGGCGTAGTTCCTCACTCTGTAGAACGCGACCACCGTATGTGCCGACTTGGGGTGTTTTCCGCTTCCAGATATCTCCGCCAGAAAGGGCATGATGTAATCGCTCCCGACTGCTCTCACTTCTTGTGGTGTAGTACAATATATGTATTGGATGAAAGTAAAGGAATAAATATATGGAACTGAATCGAGGTTTGAAAATAACGTAATAAAAAAGATCAAATTGAAAAACTGCCGTTTTAGGCAAATAATCCATTCAGAAAGATGTAGCCCAATCGACCATCGGTCATTGAGTTTCAAGTACAGAATAATGACTGTAGCCCGAAAATTTTGAGAAACGTGTGAAAATGTTCTTCACTCTGTTTCTACTAGGGCTATTTTTAGTTCGATTTTGTCGTGTGATGGCTTAAACGTTATAAGGATAGCAGTTCCAATCGTGTATAACTATTAATGTGCAACTATTTCCAATAATACGAGACAGAACGTACTATTGTAGTAGCACTATTCGTGAGTTATTAGTTCGTTAGCAATACTACAAAATCAAATCTGTAGTTCGTATACAGGTGCAAATAAGTTTTCGGAAGAGTACGAATTCAAGTTTTGCTAATCTCGCTTTGTTGGAACTTACATTCTTCAGTGAAATAGTTAGAAAATATATTCTGGAAGTGAAGAGAGCGTGCGGGATTATGCTTCTGCCACCTGCAGTTTGTATTGTTCTTTGGTCAAAATAAATGAAACGAAATCAAACTCTCCAAAGTGTTGGTGCAGGGACAGCGCTTCAGTGAACAACAGTTGCTATAAAATTGGAAGGCGCTGTGAACACTAGTGGGGGAAGACGCAGCCCCCACTGAGATCGACCTTTGATAACCATCGAGAAAACGGCATTCGGACGAGAGATTCCAATTCCCTGCAGGGCTTCTCTGTGGCGCCAACCACACCCGCTCGCTTGGGAAGAGAGAGGAGCTTACATGTAAAATATCACATCGCATACCGACTGAGGTGACTCAGGGCACCAACTGATGTCATTGCGGTGCCCTTGACCGAGTGGACCTACGGTGGCACTCCCGACGGCTAGACAGCTGGGGCGACTTTTGCTGCTGTCCGGGAGAGAATTGTAGCGGCCGGCTGCTCTGATCCGTAGTTTTCCGTGGTTTCTTCGATCAACACCAGACGAATGCCAGAGCAGTACCATATCCAAAAGGTCACGGACCTTTCTTTCCCCTTCCTTGTCCTTTTTCACCCCTTACTTACACACCCTTTTACTAATATGCACTACACTTGCACACTTGTCAGGAAATCAGTCGAGACCTTAGAGCTTGCCCTGGCTGAGGGAGATACCTGGTTATACAAAATCCTCGCAAGCCGCCGTTTAGGTCGACGACGGATCTCGCCATCCAGCGGAAGAAGATTCCAGTACTAATGATCGTAGCAGTTGAGGCGCCCGGAAACGCGCAAATAATCAACCAATCAAGCGAATCACGAATATATCTGTGGCTTAGTGCATGAGGGACCAATGTCATTTTGCAAATATATACATAGGGTGGTTTTCTTACACCATCGAAGTGAAAATGATTTTTGTAAATTAATAAGTTGAATTATTATTGCAGTTGGGTTGTACTATCTCTTCACATGAAAACATCAAATTCTCTCTATATAGGTGAAATCAAATTCTTTTACGTGACTTTATGTATGTTTTTGAAGAAACTTTTTAGGTGAATAGTTATTTGCATGGTTGCTTGCCATAGATATATTATCGTGTTTTTTAATTGAGTGAAAGTTGTCATTTAAAAAATTATTTTAATGCATTTTTGGAACCCATGTAGAATTTGTTTGTTTATATTACGTTTCACGAAACAGTGTTTTGAAGCCTCCCCTACCTCTTTCCAACCACTTCACAATTGTCTTAGCCGATTGTTTTACATTAAATTAAAATGCTCTTTTTATAACTGCTATTGTGGATGTGCGTTTACCCGCTCTATTGTAAATATTTATTTATAATTTACTTTAATTTCGTATGTGGTATTGTTGTTAATGTTGGTGAGTCTTTGTGTTAGTTTACATAGAGTGCTTTGTTTCTTTAATTTTTATTTTTTTCATTGATATTGCTTCATTCATCTCTGTAACTTGTTTATATTCCTCGTGTGCACAGCCAATGAGGCAAAGCGTGCAAAGCGTGTGGGCTCGCAGCACTGACTTGCAGAGGCGGCGGCAGCGCATCTCGCGCTCCCAGGGCGTGTCGCGCAGGTCGTGGCGCGAGCGGAAGACGAAGCGGCGCACGTCCACGTCGGAGAGGAAGCGGCCGGGCGGGTGCGGGCAGGGCGGCTGGCCCCGGCGCAGCCCGCTCAGGCTGCGGCGCGTGCGCAGCGGCGCCGGCGCCTGCCCGTCGCGCAGCAGGATCTCGTAGTCGGCGTCCAGGCGCGGGCCCCTCGCCGCGCCTTCGCACGTGCGCTCTCTTACCCAACCCGCTCACTCTTACTCATTCACTCTCATTCGCGCATTCAATTACTCCACGAGATACCAACTCATCTAGGCAAATATTACTTTTTCTCTTTTTCGTTTATCCAGTTATTTCTTACTCGGTTACTCATATATTCGTTCATTTAGTTATTTTGATATTAAATAAATCGTCTATTGGTTTATTCGTTTATTCATGTAGTAAGTTATTCATTTACTCGGTCCTTCATTCATTCAATTATTCATTTATTCCCTCCTTGATTGGAAAAAAATATAGGGAATAGAGAACTTGAATTAAATACGGATAAAACCAAAGTGATAGAATTTAAAAAAAGGCAGAAGGAAAAGTAAATGTGACAAAATGAAATGGAAAGGACATATTTTAGAAATGGAGAACAATTATAAGTATGAAGGGTTTAGGCTTAACAAAGAAAGGAGCTACGAAAAGCACGTAGCAGAAATAGACAAGAATGGGATTGTGGCTACGAAACAAGTGTGCAGAATAATTAAAAGAAGAAGCAGGGACTTTTGGGCAAAGGTTATGAGAATACATGACAGTATTCTTGGTTCTATTTTGAGCTGGGGAGCAGAAATTTGAGGATGGAAGGAAAGAAGGATACTAGAAATTTCAGTTCAAAAATTTGGAATGGATTTTTAAGAAAATGTGTTTAAGGTTCTTGTAATAGCAAAATTTGAAGCTCCTTTTCACAGAAAATACTTTAGTTTTGGAAAAACTTCATTAAAAATCAATTAAAGCACTTTTATTCACAAAAACAATTACGTGTACAATTTTCTGGAAATTAGAATACTAAGGGTGAGGGAGATATTTAAAAAGGAACGCATTTTCGTATTTACTTTTAAAAAATTAACGAACACAACAAAATGAATTTATGTCATCTTATATTGTGCATTAAGCACATTCCGTACAAAAAGTTTAAAGAAAATGTTTTAGCCTTTTTGAGAAAATGGCGTTTGAGAGTTTCTGAAAATGCGGAAATCTGAGCAGAAAACTTTTGAGTTTTTGAGACACTTTATGACATCAATTGAATTTCATGTAATCATAAATATAATAATGTAAGGTAACTGTCGCTTATGTAAACATTAAGGACATGAGAGACAAGTAAAAAAAATTACATTTGTGTACTATTTGTGTAGAACCTGTCAGGCGCAGTGGCGTGGGCGAGCGTACCTTCCGGGTGGGCGCCGCGCGTCTTGAGCACGTGCTGCACGATGTCTTCGGGGCTGAGGAAGTACTCGTCGTCCTCCTCCGCGTCCTCGGGCTCGTACTCTTCCTCGCCGTGCGCGGGCGGCTGCGCGCCCATGGCCAGCGCGTACGCAGACGTGACGGCGGAGGTCGCGGCGGTCTGCGCGCTGCTGCGCGCGCGCACCTGCAGACACATGCCCACTGGAGTTGAGGCCATACCTTACTTTACGGGGCGAGACTCGCGACATCAAGTCCGTGCTAATATCACATCGCTCCGTTGACCACCTGGCGGAGAAAGAAAGTATCACGCGGGCGACGAAACAGGCGATATAAATTTTGCTCAGACTCCTCTCTCTCTCCCTCCCCCCTCTCCCCCTCTCTCCCTCTCCCTCTCTTCCTCCCTTTTCCCTCCCTCCCTCTCTTCCTCTCGTTCTCTCTCTCTCGCTCGCTCACTCTCACTCGCTTGCTCTCTCTCTCTTGCACTCTCTTGCTCTCGCTCTCTCACTCACGCTTTCACTCTCTCTCTCGCTCACTTTGTCTCTCCCCTTGTAGAAAATCTACTACATGGGACAGCTAACATTACTTCTCATCCGAAGAAAAGTGTACGAAGGATTTTTACCCTTCAAAATACACGGCATTGATCGTGTTTGAATCGGGGAACTTAAGTGTAACAGTCCGATACGCCAACCATTACAACTACGACTACATTTGCCACTGGCTACATGTGCCATGTGCAGCTAAAGTACCGTCATCCGAATCTACGCATCCATGTTCAAGCTACAAAGGTAAGTCAATGTCTATAACTGATTACAACCAGAGTAAAATATATTAGGGTGTCTTATTTTTCAAAAAAGAAAAATTATTTTTGCAAATTTTTGGGAGGTTACCTCTAAATATTTTCCATTGAGTCAAATTTACTCAACAACAAAATTTCATCTCAATAAGCCAATATTAATATGTGCCAATGTGAGCGCGAATTTGATGAGAGAATTATTTACCTTTATAGAAATAAAACATAAACCAATTTTAAATGTATTTCTTTATTCATGTTCTTCCATCAGACAATAACTAAGGTACACTGATCAACACATCTATTCCTCGTTCCCCATTACCAGTCTACATTCATAAAAATATAGGTAATCATTACCAACACATCAGGAATGAGGCTAATTGAAACATCTATTCAGGAACTACACATATATTATTCCAACGTTTCGAAATATTTAATTTCTTTATCAGGGCTAGAGTACAAATACAAATCGGCAATGCATGAGGACAACAAACAAATTTAAATTAATTAATTAACACTACACACAAAATAGTTTATAAACTAAGACATATAAAACACCAAAATATTGAAAATAGGTAATAAAGTGGGCAAAAGTAAATAAAATATAGAAATTAGTAGTGTGTGTATTGCAATATGAAAAAAAAAGTTTTACAATGAGGCAAGTGATTGAAAGTATGGGAATAATACATAAAATTCCACAAAAACAATGAGTACATGTATTTTATTTTTGGTTTAGATTTTTAAATTATTTTTAGTTATAAAGTGAGTGAAGTTGGGTGGTGGACACCGCAATTTTAAAAAAATATTAACATTTTTTAGTGAGAAAGTGAGGAAGACAGGTTATTCCAAGGCAGCAAGGGAGCAAGGCAGAGAGAGGTTGGGCAAGACGGAGCGGCAGGGGGGGAACAGATGGAATACGCCCTGTCTAATGAAGTATTGTGTTAAGTACCCCGGCAACGCGGGTGACTTATGCTAGTTAATAGGGCCAGAAATCAGCCATCGAGCGATCAAAAAGCACCACCACCTCCCTTGACATAAAAAACAATACCCTACGCTCCCGGGGCTGAGGCCGGTAGCAGATGACACTGTGACTGGCGAATGGATGCGCAGAAGGCGTACCTGCGCGCGCGCGAGGGACGGCTTGTGCGCCTCCTCCAGCCCGTCTTCCGCCGAGGCGCTGGCGGCGCGCGTGGACGCGCTGGGCGGCGGCGTCGGGTAGTACGCCAGCACGTCCTCCTCTTGCAGCTGAACGTGCGCACGCGCTCCTTGTACTGGCTCGTAAAGAGGAACTCTTGTAACGCTGCCGCACAAATTTGCTGCTCAAATACCTCCAATAGCCGAGACCAGCTAAGTCAATAAATGATGTGCCTAAATCGATGGCTTAGTTCGCAAACATTGCAGTACGTAAAATAGTGGTCATTTTCACGTTAATATATCTGCACATATAAGTTTATCTCACTAGTGTATACATATTGTGTGTCCGCATAAAATTATTCATGTATTTCCCAAAAAGAAGACATTGCCGCACCGTACGTAAATGACTTTCTGTGCCATAGCATGTAGTCAGAATCTACGTTTTGTGAATTCCGAAGAATTGCATTACGGCGAAACGGTTTGTTCGTCTCAGGTCAACGCCCAACACCGTTAAGCCAATTTGCTCCAAAATTGAAATTCCTTATCAATCTGAATGAACTCGGGCGCAGCAAATTTGTTACGGGTGTTTTGATATCTGGGAAGTATTTTACCTAACAATTTCAAACTTTTCCAAAAGTTTCCAAAAGACTCCAAATGTTTTTTGAACTCTGTCCTAAGCTACAGTAAAACACATACTACAGTAGTGCATTAGAATGGCAGATTTCAAAAAACTTCATTGGAAGTCATTTGAAGGCTTCATTTGAAGATATTGTACTTACAAACACAATAATGTATACAAATTACTGTCAATTATCACATAACGGCGACAGAGACATTTTAAAAATAAACATTTGCGTAATTTTTTTAAAACAGAAGAATACAGGAAAATTACTTTTAAATAAACTTAAACCTTGTTTTTAGTACTATCCGTTCAAAAAGTTTAAAGAAACAATTTTGAAGAGTTTGGGGAGAAATTTTAAAATTTTCTGAAATTGCACGATTTTGGGCTAAATTTAAAAAAATAAATGAAATTTACATAAACTTTATAAAAAATCATTTAAAGCACATGCACTCATAAATTAAATAATATATACTAATATCAGATAATGTTAATATTAACGAAGTGAGGGAGATTGCAAAAAATTACATTTGTGTAACTTTTGAAACAACAAAAGAATAGAACAAAATGGCGTGTATGTTATCCGATACTATCCCTACGGACTATCCCTACTAAAAGTTTAAAGAAACAATTTGGAGTCGTTTTTGAGAAATTATTGTTTTTGTTATTTTTTAATATTGTACATATTGCACGCGATAATACACAAAAAGTGCTAAAATTTTCAAAATATGTATGTAACATTAGTAAACTAATTATGGAGAACAATTATATGAAGGAAACAAATCTTCAATTTTGTAGTTGCAGGAAGTCATGAAAAAAATCAAACGTTTGCAATTTTCTAAAATTCAGAATAAACAATAAAAATTTGAATTATGCCATCTTTATGTTGAAAATGTCCTAGGGGCTTCATGCAAAGTTCTCCAAAATGTAAAGAACTGTTTTCAAAATCACATTTTCGTTGGGTAGCGTAGCGTCAAGTCATAATACCCGCGGCCCTGTTGCCAACAACTTAAGTTCACAAATGAAATGTGTTTCCAAAATTGGCTTTGATTCTTTTAAATTGATAATACTGGAAAGCCAAAAATAGAAAATGCAAATAGCTTTTTAATGTTCCATTATTGCATTTGTCAATTTGAAAGATCGCTCCTAATGTCACTCTTTTCAAAACATGTACTTATGCACTGGAACTCAACATTACACACTGGTTGCATTATAAGCCAATCTAGAATACACAGAATAATCAGAAGTCACAACCGACACCGAAAAATTGGTTTTCGGATAATGCCTGCCTGTCCATCAGTGAACAGCATTAGCGATTTAGCCGTGTACGGTATTATCTCCAGAATTGACATTTTCGAACAGAGCTGACTGATGTCTTGGCCCTTCGAATTTGAAACGGACCTTTATATTTAGAGTGTACGTTATAACATTTTACTTTTTCGCCCTTACGAAGGTAATTTGTAAGAAAAGAAAGTTATGTAATCGTATTCCCGAGAACGGCGAATATTCATCGAAAACTCTTATTGCCGGCTCTGGTAACGAAAAAGTTCATAATTCCTGCAGCTAAATATATAAAATATCCTCTAACACGTGGTGTGGTCAGAATCTATGTTTTGTGGCTCCTTGATTCCGAAAAATCAATTGACGGCAAAACGCTTGTCTCTCTGTCCGTCTGTGGTCAACACTAGTGCATAAACTGTTCAGTCAGTTTTCTTCAAAATTGATATTCCTCAATCGATGTGAATCATATCGAGGTTTGGAAGTTTCAAAAGGATATTTTTATTTTTGAGGGTACTTTACATGAAACTTTAAAAACATTTTCCGAATTTTCGCAAATATGGCACCTGTTTTTTCAAGCTTTGCGTAAACAACGCTTCAGAGAATGGTGCAGACCTCATGTTCGTCGAAATTCCTATTTTTTTTGTAAATTGCAAGTGGCTTCTTTCTTCTTCTATAATATTGAAGAGGGAGATTTTTTTTCGAAATAAAATCTGTTAATTAAAGATAGCTATTAAATAAGTTCATTTTGTAACTTTTCGAAAATTTGAGTTTTCGAGATTTTTTTAAGTTTCTAATTTGTTTTAAGAGAGGTAAAGAATGTTATTACCATTATCGTCTATCTATTTTATCTATACATTTTTTCGAAAATTGCAGAAAGTTAACATTTCAAAAATTAAAAGTTGGAGATCGCGGTTTGAACTTTAAACCAAGTTTGTTATAAAAAATCAGCTTTTAAAAATGATCAGGTACAATTTTTTGAAAAAAACTGATTGTTTTTGCGTAGTTTGTGTTTGAAATTTAAGCAATTCTGTAGTTTCAAATATTACTGATTTAAAAAAGTGTCTCCCTCTGCAACTACATCATTGAAGATACAGATTGTTTAAGAAATATGTTCTTGTTCTTAACAAAGGTAATAAATTAATTTATTTTCTATGTCAGATTCTCAATAAAATGGTTGCGTAGGCTTTCGCGGCCGGAGTGTGTGATGTCTAGTCTATCCGGGACAGCTGTACGCTCTGAGGAAGGCCACAATAGGCTGGTCAAAACGTTATCCACCATGTCAGTAACGCGGCTCGTCCCGGATAGCCTAGATATCTCAATAAAATGTAAACCTCTGAAAACGTAGAATAATAGTAATGTTATCTCTCTCTCTCTCTCTCTCTCTCTCTCTCTCTCTCTCTATATATAT